ATGAATATCTTCTCATCATCGAGGTTATATGCGATAATCGAATAGGTATTTTGGACATGCGGAAATCTGAGCGTTACCAAATTAATTTGGAAGTAATTGGTAACTTACCGAATTGGCGACTTCCTTCGCTAGATGGACATCAACTCGTTCCGAGGGTAGGCTCGAATCTACGAGATCCTCCTTGGTGCCAACCAACACAATCGGAGTTTGATTGCCGACGTATTTGCGGATCTCCGGCAACCAGACGACACGACATGACTCCAATGTTTTTGGATCGACCAACGAGAAACACATCAAAAAGACATCAGTTTGAGGATAGCTTAAGCATCGAAGATGCGCATAATCTTCCTGAAGAAAGCGGTCTTTTTCATTGATTGTGAGACATTTCGGGATTCATTACATCAGCACTTCAATCCTGAACTTAACAACTCGTTTTGTGCAACCAGATGAACCGGTTTTAAGGGGTGACTCGTGCAAATATCATGACACAAACACAAACGTTTCTTTAGAAGTTTCATTCCCACTAAATGAATAAAACTTGATTTTAAAAGTGAGCGGATACTTCAAAGTGACAGTGAAATGTTCAACAATTTTGAGGAATTTGCTATGAAATTTCCGGTATTCATTGGGAATTTTTAGGTAATTACAAGANCAACGCATCGTTTTATTCAATGAACAACGTGTTTTTCTTACAACTCATTTTCATTGTTGCTCTATCGGTCAGGCAAATGGGGCTGTTTTATTCACTAGGAAAGCATCGGTCGAGTTTGGAATTAATATCTGAACTGCTCAAAATTAGGCACTTTTTAGCCAGGATATCATCTGTTTCATAATCATCACAATGTTTCAAGTTAATTGGATAGACTGGCCTGCCCTGCGGTGTCAAACAGATTCACGGTGTATTGTCGCTGATCGATTGTCACAGATACTGCCCAATTTTCCAGTACTGTTGCTGTATAGTTTTGCAGTAAACGATTTCCCGTATAAGCGAATAGTAAACTGAAAATTGAGACCTGATGAAGCAATCTGCTCGAATACGCCATATTTGGCTGCTTGAGTTAGTTATTTCATTGAGCGCAGAGTATAAACGCGTGTAACCGAACTGATCACTCTGGAGAAAAAAATTCCACATCGGTAACTCAGCTGCCTCATGGATTTCAGCATTTCAATCTTATGGAATGAATATATGAAATAATACGGTTTATAGTTAGATTAGAGCACGTTGATATTTTAAAATTGGTAAACCTCTCACTTCGCTACTATTGTATTGATCCATCAATGAAGATATGAAATCTGTTGAGTCTGGTGATATGACAAAATCGGTTGGCTACATAAGATAAATTTAGAAATTTAGCTATAGTTGTAGATCCAAGCATTGCATTATGACAATATGCCGTTTGTGCATGGCAACGTGTATGTGCTTTTTAGAAAGCAATCAATCTGCTCTAACGCACCAGTTAAAGAAACTGTTGTGGAAATGAGCAAACCTGAGCTGCATTGTTATTCAATATGGAGTCCAAATGCAAAATGTTTAGTGGTGGAATGAAATCATTCCTCTGAATGGGAGGGAGGGGGAACCATTGGCAATTTAGCTATGTCTTGAGAATTGAGGATTATCCATACATGTGCTTTTCTTATACCAGAGAATCTGTTTTCTGCGATGGTATTTGAAATCTTCTATCTTCCTGAGCGAAGTTAAGGGTACATTCAGTTTGAAAATGTTACTCTTGATGTTGTCATAGTAGCATAGATCAACATCTGGAGCAATGCAAAATGTTTGACGGTTCAGTGAAATCTCATAAAATAAAATTTCTTTGTAAATTTAGCTCTATTTGTGGAAATAAGCATTATCAATGATGCCTCATATATGCGTTCCTGACACTGGAGAATCTTTTCTATCCGACTGCACGTAACAATTAAGGTCCTGAGCTTACCAAAGGATACAGCTGGCTTGATTATGATGCTCACATGCTAAGGTCTCATTCAGCAAAATATGAAGCAAATGCGATAGTTTATTTAACACAATGAAACCGGTCCTTCAGAAATCAGCTGTATCTCTCGAACTGAGCTTTATCCGTTTCTAGCATATGCAAAAAGAAGTATTATGTGAAGATTATCCGTCGACAACGTATGTATCGGGGTTAATCCTTGAAGTGGTAGCGGACTATATGTGTGTAACGGTGTTTTCCTTGTTGGTGAGAATTTATTGTCTCTGTTGCAGTTGAAAAACTGTGCTGATACAAGAGCTGATAAAGGCGTAATAGTTTGCAGCTTGCAGCTTATGCGCTTCCATATTTTTTGTAACCGTGTCTCATTATTGATACATAAACTCCCTAAAGCTAATGATCACAGCATCGAATTTATTTGATGACGCCTTTGAATGATAACGCACTGTATTTTGGACGCCATAATTCAAATTTTCTTATCAGCGCGTCATTACGACGTCATAGAAACATAACTTTAAGTGCTAATAAGAGATTTTAGACAATTCAAAGGTGTGGGGCGTTGAGTTTAGAAATTTCTGAGGACATTATATTTGGATATGAGATTCCGACGTTTCTTCAGAATGAAATCACTAAATAACAAGAAGCTTGATTGAGTAA